CATGCTCACCCAGCCTGTGACCAAGCATTTCTATCTCTGGCACACGGCCCCATTTCGAGTCTCCAAACCCAGCAGATTCCTGCAGCGTGCTCCTGTGCTGCTCCTCCCAGAGGGAGAAGAAGGGGGTCTCCTGGGATCTGTCACTTGTGGGGTCCCTGTTTGAAGAGCAGTGGCCCAACTGTGCCTGAGATCATGGTTTAAGGTAACCCCAAGCTAAAAGCCCACTCCTCAGCTCCACCTCCACAGCTAGCTTCCCCACTCTGATGCCTGGCAGCTCTGCCACACTCAAACACCCCTGGTCTTTTTGTGACACCGCAGATCCTAAGACCACACTGTCCCTGCAAGGGCTCCACCCTTAGCCTCTGGAGCAATGTCCCTCAGTGGAACAGACTTCTAAATTTCCAATTTTGTCCTCTGCTGCTCTATCACTTGCCACAAGCCAATCCCCCTCCCCACTGTCTATATACAGGAAGTATATCGCCTCAGATTCAGTTCTCCACACATCCTACCTTCCAGAAAGTGGTCACTTTTCTGTTCCTAGAATTGCTGCTCTTCTTCTCTTTGATGTCTGTTGAGTTTATAGGTGTTCAGAGTGGTTTGATAACTATCTAGCTGAACTCCTGGGACCCGAGGGTATTTAGGTCTCCTACTCCTCCACCATCTTGCTTGTAGCTCCTAATGGGCCCATTTAATCTCCCTCACTGAGCTTGAAGTGAAGGCAGGTACTCTTGGGGTAGAGGGGGAGGTAGGAGATGCAGAGATACAATAGCTCTCTCCAAAGTCCTCTCACTGGATCGTTTCCCCTCTGACTCCTTTGTTTCTCTGGTGGAGGTGGGGGGTTTAAATGGTCTACACTGTCCGTAAGCAACTGCTTTGAAATTGCTGAAGACTAGTTTGTCTGTCAGCTCACTTGTTTTCTGATACCTAGCCCATCTTGGGCTTCAATAAAAACTTCCAATTAAGAGGCACCTGGGTGGCTCAGTTGGTTGGGCATCTGCTTTCGTCTCAGGTCATGATCCCAGGGTCCTGGGATCGAGCCCCAAATAGGGCTCCTTGCTTGGTGGGAAGCCTGCTTCTCCCTCTCCTTCTCCCTCTGTCTGCCACTCTGCCTACTTCGTTCTCTCTCTCTCTCTTTGTGTCAAATAAATAAATAAAATCTTTAAATTTAAAAAAAAAGCTTCCAATTAAGATCTGGTTGCAACTGTATCCTCAGTACATAGTTATCAGTAGTATTTTTAAAATAACTCATTGAATGTTCTGTTTCTAATATCTCCCAATTCGTCATACTGATAAAATAATAAATATATAACCAATATGCATACATTTATAGTGAAACGAATTGTGCATATTTTCATCATATTGCTTCTGTAGTTCCTTGGATCAAATCAATTCAAACATTTATAAATTCTGTAAAATCAGACCCCAAGTTGGTAAAATCAAGTTTGGAATACACGGAGACAAAGTGATATTAATATTCTCAGGCAGGCACTTACAGCCTCGTATATATCACCCACTGTGTTCCTGGAGGTTAGGAGTAATCATAACTTAGAACTATGTACAAAACACTTCTTTGGGAAAATTACTTGATACTTTCAAAATAGAATTTCAGGAATTTATCTCTCCCTATAATAACTCTGACAATGTATTTAACCAGGAAGTTACCAGCCCTTATAGGTCAGGCAATAGGAGAAACATGAGGAAAGATTCTTTAATTTAGAGCAAGGACTCTGTTAGAACAATGGCTAGAGTTGGTATGGAATGACTAGGAGTTTGGGGCCTTAAATGAAATAAGATGAGAAGCTGTGAAAGGCTAAGACCTCCTGCCACCCTCACAAAAACTGCTGTTTCCTGAACCCTAGGATGTGTGTATGAGGTTTGAAAACTATGTGAATTATTCTGTTTGGATGTAATTTTTAAAATAATAAGACTTCTATTTAATACCTACCTCATATGGTAGGGGAATAAAATGACTCATTGGTTTTACTCCTAAATATCCCAGAAAATAAACAAATGTATTAAAAAGAAAAATAATATATATTCAGAATCATAAACGCAATTCAAGAATGAAGAAATATATATTCTTCATGTGATTTTTAAACTGGAAGACTAAGAGATATTTCAAACTTGGCAGAACATTTATTGTATTTATGGAAAATATAGTCATTGTGAAGTGTTAGATTGAATCTATGAAATTCTACAGTTTTGACCTACAAAAATGTCAGTTTCATATTATTCAACCTAATAGATAGAAAGTTGGAAGCTTTAATGATTAACTTTTTAAAAACTCTTATAATGTAGAAAATAGTCTTAATACTTTTAAACTAGGTTTCAAATTAATAGACGTGAACAATTTTTTGCTTTAACTGGTTTGAATTATCTGATTAAAAATTAATAAGCTAACTGGAGATTAATCATTTTCTCTACCATGAAAGAGCTGTGGATTTATTTTGCTTACCCAGTATGAGATGTGGCCAAGAGAGGAGGATTTAAAATTGGTTTCAAGAAATTGAAACCAAGGAACCTCTGATTTCCGTATTTCTGTGTTTCATAAGCTCCAATTCCACACAAATTTAGGTGATAATATGTATAAGACAATAACTAAAGGACAAGAGTAATGTGACTTGATAACTTGAGAATACAGCTTATGAGCCTTAAACTCAATCACTCTGCCTAAGACTGGGGGCAGATGTATATCAGTCATGTGCTTCCAAATTTTATTTCAGGAACATCCTAATGCCATCTCCATGGAGCTCACCTAAATTATGAAGTTGTGGTTAACTAGAGTCACAAGCTTACAGAAGGTCTTACCCTCAGCCCAAAGCCAGGGCTCTGGAGTCCTCAGAGATGCAGTTGGAACAAGGGATTGCCCCCATGTCATCCCTGCCTTTGCTCATTATTCAGATACTCATTGAGCACCTGCCATGAAACAGACACTATTCCAGATGCTGTTGATACAGTGAGAAGCAAGATAAATAAAATCTCTGCTCTTGTAGAGCTAACATTCTAATCCTTAGAGAGATATTCAATCACTCAATCAATAAACAAACAAGAAATATACTGGATAGCAACCAGTACTATGCAGAGTATTAGAATGGGGAGTTCATTTACATGAAGTGGACTGGGAAAGGCTGCTTTGGGAGGTGACATATAATCTTGATAGAATTCAGCAGGGAGAGGGAGTGACTGGAATTCAGAATAAGTCCTAGATTTAGGGTTTAACTTGGTAATTCCAAGTGTGGTCTGAAGACGTGTGGCAGTCTGCAGGCTATCACGTCTCTACCTTGGCATAAGCACAGAAACTGAGAGTAACCATTAAGAAATTTTTATAGCAATTTGACAGAAAAATTTTATGCCTATGAATATAATAATTTTGCATGCCTCCTAAATTTCATTTGCTACTCATTCATTTTTATTTCACTTTATAAAATCATGCATTGGACATTTTTTAAAACCTGGTTTTCAAAAGGAATATTATGCAGCCATCAAAAACCCAAAATCTTGCCATTTGCAACGACATGGATGGAATTAGAGGGTATTATGCTAAGCAAAGTAAGTCAATCAGAGAAAGACAATTATAATATGATTCCACTGATACAAGGAATTTGAGAAACAAGACAGAAGATCACAGGGAAAGGGAGGGAAAAAATGAAATAAGACAAAACCAGGGAGGGAGACAAACCATAAGAGACTCTTAATCTCAGGAAACAAGCTGAGGGTTGCTGGAATGGAGAGGGTGGGAAAGATGGGTGGCTGAGTGATGGACATTGGGAAGGGTTTGTGCTATGGTGAGTGCTAGGAATTGTGTAAGACTGATGAATCACAGACCTGTACCCCTGAAACAAATAATACATTATATGTTAATTTTTTAAAATCTGGTTTTCACCGAAGATAGTGCAAGAAACACTGGCTTAACTATTTAACCAGTAGATGAGTCATGGCACCATTTTCTGAGATGGGCAAGAGTAGGGTAGGAGCATCTCTGGGAGACAGAAATCAAGTATGTGTTGTTTGGATCATGCTAAGTTTGAGATGCCCCTTGAGTGCCCAAGCCATGATATAGAATCAATCGCTGGGTATATGACTCTTATGATGTACAATAGATCATCGGGTATATGAATTTTGTGGAAAGATCAGGCCAGAAGATATGGATTTGGACTCATCAGCATACAGAAGTGAGATAGGATGAGACCACCTACCTAGGTCTAGGAGCTAGCAAAGGAGACTGATAAGGAGCAACTAAAGAAAAAGAAGGAAAACCAATAATGTGTCATGAAAGCAAACAGAAGAAAATATTTCAAAAAGAAGAAAGTAGTCATCCTTGTCTAATGTTCCTGAGAGATCAGGCAAGGTAAGAACAGATAAGTGACAATTGGATTTGGTGAATTTGGAGACCTTGACAATAATAATCTCAGTGGAACAGTGAGAACGCAAGTTTAATTGGAGTGCATTAGTGAAAGACTGGGTGACAAGCAAATGATCCTGTAACAATATAAAATTATTTCAACTAGTTTTGTTGTGGTGAGAGTAGAGAGATGGATATGGAGTCAAGGGAGATTTATTCAAGACAGGTTTCATCAAGTATGCAGATGGGAGTGTCCAGTAGAGACAGGAAGCTGGTAATGCAGGCATGCATCAGAATGCAATTCACAATAGTTTTGCCATATTACCAAATAGGAAGTTCTACATATTGAAATGGACATTAATAGTAGTAATGGAAATTACATTCCATCTTCATTTCTCTACAGGATGCTACTGGGGCTCCATACTCAAGGTGAGGAATCAGGATTCACTAAGGCAGTTTGGGATTATAGTAGAGACACTGGCATCTCCTTTAGTGCTCTGTGGTGAGGAACTGGAAATGGAACATGCCTGGTTTATTGGGTTTCCATGATATATATTTACCATCTGAATCTAAAAAGTTCCATCCTCAAATTATATTGATAGACACCTTCTTTCTCACCCATAGAATTGAAACTGAAACATGTTTTCCATCTCGACAGGAGTACAAAATTTCAAGCTTTGAGCAGAGGCTGATGAATGAAATAGAGTTTCGCTTGGAACGTACCCCTGTTGATGAATCAGATGATGAAATCCAACATGACGAGATCCCCACGGGCAAGTGTATTGCTCCCATCTTTGACAAAAGACTCAAGCATTTCCGGGTTACAGAAGGCTCTCCAGTGACATTTACCTGCAAAATTGTTGGAATACCTGTTCCAAAGGTAGGAGAAGATGACCACCTTTTGGGCCAACCAACACAGAACCGCAGACAGTGCCTTCCAGAAAGTCTTACCAGATTCTAGGGAAGTATCTACAGAGGGAATAAAAACCACTACCAGAAAAACTAACAAAGCCCAGATAATTTCACTAAAAAGAGACAGTCAAGGATAAGATCGTTAAATAATTAGGCCCAAAATAAATCAGACTTATGGGTAAGTTAGAATTTAAATAAAAGTTTAAAATAAGCTTCTTAGTCATAATCCTCCACTTTGGGCTATTGATTCTTTCAACCACCAAACTCACTAAATTGATACTTTTCTTTTTATTTAATGCTTACTGAATACCCACAAAGAACCTGTTGTTGTCCTTTGTATTTGTATATATTTGTATATTTGTATATTTGTATCATTACTATCAGGTTGGTAAATGCTGAAAATGTTGTATCATTATCACTGACTGCAGAAAAATCTTATGAGTCACCAGATTTTTTTGGCAGTCAGCTGAAAGAAGGATTTACACCCGGTATGGCTGTGGTAGGGGATCTCTCTGCTCTACTTGCACAAACATTAGCATGGTGTTATCATGTATGGTTAGGTAACTAGGAAATGTGGAGGAGAACAGCTGCAGCCAGTACTCTAACCCACCTGTCTTTGAGAGATCTCCTTGATACATGCAGAACTCAACATGAAAAATTATTTATTTAAATGTTTGCCAGATGAGAAATTTAGCCAGTGAGTCCTGGCCTCCTTCCACTTGGTATAAAAAACCATACTATCCTTTCAGGTAGAGTGAGCTATTGTAGACCTGGAGATCTGTGACTGCAGAAGACTTGAGCTTTTAGATAGGATAAAAGCTATCCTATCTAAATTGGGGTGGGTGGAATTCATGCTCCTGGTTTTCATCATTTTGTTTATGAAGACGTGTCTATTCCTTGGGGTGACTTTTTAAGTAATTATGAAGTACAATAAAAAGAGTCAAAAGCTTTATCTCAATCCTAAATCATACAGAATTTTTAACTTAAGTATTGTATATGTATAAGTGCAGGAGCCTATTACACAGGCACTTTTTAAAATATTTTTTTAAGTGCTTTATAAGGGATGGGGCTCTTGCAGAGACGCCGTTGCCTCACCCTACTCCCTACTTCATTATCCTCAAAAGATGTGCAGAACAGTGTATGTTCTCCTCGATTATCTTTCATTGCAGGTTTACTGGTTCAAAGATGGGAAGCAGATTTCAAAGAGAAATGAGCACTGCAAAATGAGGCGAGAAGGAGATGGGACGTGCTCTCTGCACATCGACTCCACCACTGGTGATGATGACGGCAACTACACTATCATGGCTGCCAACCCCCAGGTGGAGAAGCAGGGTTCTGCGCTGTGCTGCACTGAGGAAGGAGCGCTTGATGTCATTGTGAATGAGACCTTGAGAAGTGCCAGTTACTAAGGATTGCTGAGGAAAATGAATGAGGAGCATTGTGATTGTGTGTAACTAGAGCACAGCTTAAAAGACCAGTTAGCCATGGATGGGTCACTCAAGCCCTGAGCCTTTGTCAAAGGACATTAGAAATATCCATTCACTATGTCCCAGATTTATTGGGCTAAATCTTTTGTTTATCAACTCATTGACTCTCTTAAAGAGTCTATAAATCATTCTATCAAAGAATGATTTTTTTTTTTTTTTTTGGTAAAAGTTAGAAAGTCATAATCTCTCACTTTTCTTTTCTGAATGTGATTTAGGATCAAGACTTAAAATTCCTCTAAAAGATATGACAGAATAAATATCTTCAGCTACTACTAGAATACAAAGTATAGAGCTATAATTTCTACTCACCCACTCTCCTTATTAAAATGTTAGTTTTGGGGCACCTGGGTAGCTCAGTGGTTTAAGCCTCTGCCTTTGGCTCAGGTCATGATCTCAGGGTCCTGGAATCGAGCCCCGCATCAGGCTCTCTGCTCAGCGGGGAGCCTGCTTCCCCCTCTCTCTCTGCCTGTCTCTCTGCTTATTTGTGATCTCTCTCTCTGTGTCAAATAAATAAATAAAATCTTTTAAAAAAATAAAATAAAATGTTAGTCTTGAGGATAAATCTCTATTAAGAAAAGTATAAAATACTTGGCCATAGTCTCTGCATGTGGCCGCAGATAATGTTCAGTGCACAAGAATTTGAATTTTTTTTACATTTGTGTTCTGTGAATTTCTCAGCTCAAAATAAAAGTCATCACAATGTTCTTTAAATTTCTTCCCTGGGCTATTTTTTAAAAATATTTTATTTATTTATTTGACAGAAAGAGAGATCACAAGTAGGCAGAACAGTAGGCAGAGAGAGAGGGAGAAACAGGTTCCCTGCTGAGCGGAGAGACCAATGCAGGGCTCGATCCCAGGACCCTGGGACCATGACCTGAGCTGAAGGCAGAGACTTAACCCTCTGAACCACCCAGGTGCCCCTCTTCCCTGGACTATTAACAGTGATTTAAGGAGTCATATTTTATTGTTTTCATCCCCCACCCCCAAGTTTTCTTGTTCATAATAGTTGGCCAAAAGGTTCAAAATGGTTCCAGTCCAGAAAAATTTATATAAATTGAAAAAAAAAAATGGTGAATTCTCTTATTTTAAATTCATTTTTGTTTCAGGGACGAATCAGCTGTTCTGGCCACTTGATGGTACAAAGTTTGCCCATTCGCAGTCGACTAACATCTGCTGGTCAGTCTCACAGGTAAAGACAGTAAGAATCTCCCTTCTCGAGCCCCTCCCAAGCACCCACCTACCACAATGAGCATCAAAGTGTTGGGTCTACAAATTGTTACTGAAAATGTAGTCCTGAACCTGCAGCATCAGCATCCCTTGGGAGACTGTTGCAAATGTGGAATCCCAGGCACCGCCCCCCCAGACCTACTGAATCAGAAACTACATTTTAATAAGATCCCTAGGTGACTTATAAGCACATTAACTTTGAGACCCACAGGTCTGTCACACACTCTTGATGGCTTAAAATTTGTGACCATCAGTAGCACTTGTGCAGATAATATATAAACCAGAGTCTTGAATTAAATTACCATATTTTCTTTTAAAAAAAGAAACTGCTAATGGTTATGTCTATAGATTGAATACTTTTGTTGTTGTTGTCCCCAGTATAACAATTGACTCTAACACAGCAATTGGCTTTCTCCCTCTTTGATTTTACTAACCACTAAGAATTAAGAGCCTGGCTTCCCCTTGAGTCTTATGGTGCCACAAAGTCTTAGCAAAACATTCCATAGTTGCTGACATGGATGAATTATATTTGACTTACCAAAGGAGCAAAAATAGTGACCCATGTTTCAGATACAGTATTTATCACCACTGCAACTATACCTTCTTCTTCGTTTTTGTTTTTTTTTCTCCCTTCAAGAACAGCTGTTACTGTTGGTCAGTCTTAACCAGTTTAAGTTCCTGATCATCTTTAATGGTCTGCCATAATTTATAGCCAGGTTAAATTTTATTACTCAGAGACACAGGGATTGCAGCTGCCTTGTTCTGGGTAATAAACAGGACTTGTCTGTTGGCTCTCATTTGAGATTCGGCTTGAATACTGATTTATTTGTTTATTTTGAAACTTTTGAACAACTGGTCAAAGCCCAGGCAAGGGGAGCTGAGCCATTTAACCCAGAATGACTTCAGAGAGAAAGAAGCTAAAGCCTGTTTATTTAATTACAGATCTCATAAGATAATCCTACAGGGTATGAGATGCTTACCACCTTGCTTTTTACATAAGCTTCACACCATTATTTATTATTTTATCATTTGTTTACAGTCCAGCAGCCTCCTTCCCTACCCCACGCCCAAAATATCTGTTCTCCACGGTCTATTGCCATGTATAAATGCTTGCTGTTGTAGGTTTATAGATTGGTTTCTATGTTTAATGCCTGACCTTGCTTGTTTTTGTAGAGGAAGGTCCCGAGCACAAGAGAGAGACAAAGAGCCCCTACAGGAACGCTTTTTCCGACCACATTTCCTGCAGGCTCCTGGGGATATGGTAGCTCATGAGGGGCGCCTCTGTCGGCTGGACTGTAAGGTAGACTCTAATCCTCATCCTTGGTTCCAGATCTGTTCACATTTTGCATTTGTTTGACTCATTTTTGTTTGTATTTGTTTTATGTTTTGTTTAGAGAAAGAGGGACTGGGGAAGCGAAAGAGATCACTTCTTTTCTCACAAAGCTTTTTCAGAACATTTAATCCCAGACAAAAAAAAATTTTTGATGAAATTTTTAAGTCTTTATACCTTAATAAAATTACATTGGTGTTGTATCAAGTTGACCCTGCATTTGTAAAAGACAACCAAGGAACTGATGTAATTCAGACATTTTCCATGTAGTGCTGGGAAAGTCTTCATTACTATAATGCCAAAAGTGTGATTTTTGCATCCTTGAAGTGAGTGTCTGTGACATATAGGCTTTGAAAAAATTATAGTCATGAAAAGATGGCTCTGAGGTGGTTTATGAAAACAGAAGTTGGTTTCTGATACTAACCAACATCCAGCAGCTTTAGCTGTTGCTAAATTGCATTCTAATTCTTCAGCCAGAAACTGTTCAGCTGAGCAGCGTGGATATCCCTTAGTATGAAGAGAAACTTAGGTCACCTCTTGCCCTCCAGACAAAGTTTCAGAATGCTATGGAATTTTTAGATGCTAAATGGTAAAGGCTTGAGGTTAATCATTCGTAGAGGTGGTTCTTACTCTGCCAACGGCTGCCTAAATAATATTCGGGATTGATTGTTACTTCTTCCACCCTAACCCCTGAAAGATTCCCATCCCGGTCCCATTTCTAGAGATTCTGACTTAAGATAGTAAGTGGACATTGGGATTTTCAAATGCTCCCCACATGATTGTAACACAGAGAAAGGTCTGAGAACTCTACTGTCTGCCCTTTCCTTGGTTGCCTCTCGCTGATTCTCAGGTATGTGAGCAACATATCGTCTGTGAAACTGACAGCAGACCTATTTTATCTATCCATTTAGTTTTTATTTCTTACTTATTCTAATCTAAAATATAATCATCCCCTGAATTTGGGGTCAAACTACTATACAATTTAAATTAATATGGCCACTCACCCAGCCCCTCTTGTCCTGATGCCCCTACAGAGAGGTTTCTCTCCACCCCATGTTTTTTCTCACTACTTGGTGCCAGACAAGGATGAAGAAGTCAGCCACCAAATAAATCTGCTTGTCATCAGTCTGTCATTTGCCTCAGCTGTCCTGTTATTTATTAGGTGAGTGGCTTACCGCCCCCAGAGCTGACGTGGCTGCTCAATGGCCAACCGGTGCTACCAGACGCCTCCCACAAGATGTTGGTCCGAGAGACTGGAGTCCACTCTCTGCTCATTGACCCGCTCACTCAACGTGACGCAGGGACCTATACATGCATTGCTACCAACAAAACCGGACAGAATTCCTTTAGTCTGGAGCTCACCGTAGTAGGTAAGGTTGGCTTCTGGGACCCCCAAGCATAACTCCCTTTTAAAGTTATTGCCCAAATAAGCACAACCTCTGACAGAATTCTTTAGTCCTTTGCCCTACCAAGTTTCATCTCCATTTCTCCTTCACTGTAGTAAGGTCCATACTTCCTACATTGCTTACAAAGACCTATCAGTAAAAACATAATATGGCATCTTATACATATATGCATGCAGTATATGGGAGCCATTGTAATAGTTAATCAGTTAATTAGTATATTGACTACACTAAATTCAAGTCACTTGCCCTACCGTTCATCACTACTGGAACACACCAGATTCTTGTCCCTACTCCAAGTTTCCATGCCTTTGCTTCACTGATCCTTCTACCTGGAATATACCTTTCTTTGCCTAGGAACCTCTCATCATTCTCTAAGGCTTAATTCAAATGTCACTACCAAGGCACATCCTCCTCCACTTCCTTAGCACTTAGAAAAGGAGAGACTCCTCAGAGAACTTGCAGCCTTCCATGTAACTATGATCTCCTAACTCGGACATTCTGACTTTTTCTGTGTCTCTTTAATGTCTGACTCAGTGCCGGGAACATGCACAGTGCTCAGCAAATGTTGAGTTGATAACTAAACAAATGAACCTTTACCTTGTAAGGCGATATGAACAAAACACTGTAATGCCTACAAAAAAGGACAACAAGTCATCACCACTTGCTTGATACCTGCTCTTGGGGCAGGAGTCCAACCAGAACTAGATTTTAGATACACGAATTCTAGTGCTGAGCTTTCGCCCATGTGTGGTCCTTACAGGAAATCAGGGGACGTCGGCATACTATCTTCTCTATAGGCTTGTAACTGCTCGCCCCATATATCTTTTTCTTTTTCTCACTCTTAATTTTCTCTTACCCAACAGAGTAGGAAAAGCTCTTCCTGCAAAGATATATTGATTGCAAGCTTTTACTTTTCCCCCTAATATTTTGCAAATATTGACTCTGGAATCCTGAAATATGAGGTATCTTTGCCTTATCTGGTTCTGGCCCTCCCCCCCACCAAAAAAAAGGCTTCCTTAGGAAGCATACTTGGTGGGGTTTTTTTGTTTTGTTTTTAAGTAGTGTACTTCTGAGGCCTGGCTGGCTCAGAGGAGAGTGCAACTCTTGATCTCAGATCTCAGAATTCAATCTCTTGAGTTTGAGCCCCATGTTGGGTGTAGAGATTACTTGAATAAATAAAACTTTAAAAAAAAGTAGTGTGCTTTTTTCCTGTAGCTATAAACTTCTTCAAAATAAAACTTGAGGGAAAATGAATATACTTTTTACAAAATCATCTCCTCTAGAAAAGAAAAAGGATAGATTCAGTACATAAAATCTGTTGTTTCTCAAAATTTACTGTTGGGAATAAAAGAGACTCCTTAAATTCCATACCCACCATTTGCGCCCCCCCCCCACACCTGCCCAGTGGGCCACCCAGATCCTGGAGTGTTGTCTCTCACACAATATGCAAAGAGAGTCCCTCCTTCCTTTTTTCATCCCTTCCAGAGCTTTTATAAAAGCAATGATATTCACTTCATATCCAAGTTTCCATGGGGTGTGAGAAGTTTGCTGAAGAGGAGGTGAGGTGGGTGGGGGCCCACTCTGCTAAGTTCCAGACATGTAATGAGTTTGAAGCATGAACCTCAAGGCACTTACTATTCAAACAAGAATGGCCCTTCTCTCATTCAGCCAAAGAAGTGAAGAAAGCACCTGTGATCCTGGAGAAATTGCAGAACAGTGGAGTTCCCGAAGGCCACCCAGTGAGGCTGGAGTGCCGGGTGATAGGCATGCCACCACCTGTGTTCTTCTGGAAGAAGGACAATGAGACCATCCCTTTCACCCGAGAAAGGATCAGGTACAGCCCGTTCCCGCGTTCAAAGGGACTTCTGAGCTTGGTGGGACATCCTGGGTACCCAAATAAGTCTGTCGTCTTTTGAATCTTGCTTCTTTCACTTAACATGATGCCTTTGAGTTTTGTTCATGTTTTTGTGCATATCAAGAATTTATTCTTTCTTGTTCCTGAAAGGCAGACCATGGTATAGTGGTCCCACAGTTTTAAACCTTAATTTTTTTCAGGATTAATTAGCAGGGCTTTTTTTTTTAAACTCACTTTTGTTAACATACAATGTTACATTAGTTTCAGGTGTACAATATAGTGATTCAACAATTCTGTATGTTACTAAGTGCTCACCACAATAAGTATACTCTTAATTCCCCTCACCTATTTCACCCATTCCCCCATCCACCTTCCCTCTTGTGACCATCTGTTTGTTCTCTATAGTTAAGAGTCTGGTTTTTGGATTGTCTCTTTTTTTCCCTTGTTCCTTTGTTTTTTCTTAAATTCCACATGTGGGTGAAATCATATGATATTTGTCTTTCTCTGACTGACTGACTTCTTTCAGCATTATAATCTCTAAATCCATCTGTGTTGTTGCAAATGTTAAGGTTTCATTCTTCTTTATTGCTAAGTAATATTCCTCTGTGTACACACCCGCACACGCGCACACATGCACATACACACACACACATGCATATACATACATTCTTTATCCATTCATCTATCAATGTATACTTGGGTTAATTCCATATCTTGGTTATTGTAAATATATTGTAAATATAAATATTGTAAATAATGCTGCACTACACATGAGGGAGCATGTATCTTTTTGGATTAGTATTTTTGTTTTCTTTGCATAAAAACCTAGTAGTGGAATTACTGGATCATATAGTGATTCTATTTTTAATTTTTTGAGGAGCCTCCATACTGTTTTACACAGTGGCCACACCAGTTTGCATTCCCACCAAAAGTGCATGAGGATTCCTTTTTCTCCACATCCTTGCAAACACTTGTTGTTTCTTGTGTTGATTTTAGCCATTCTGACAGGTGTGAGGTTGGCATCTCATTGTAGTTTTGCTTTGCATCTCCCTGATGGTGAGTGATGTCGAGCATCTTTTCATATACCTGTTGGCCATCTGTACGTCTTCTGTGGAGGAATGTCTGCTCATTTTAAAATTGGATTATTTCATTTTTGTGTGTTGAGTTATATTAAGTTCTTTATATATTTTGGATACTAACCTTTTATCAGCTATTTAATATGCAAATATCTTCTCCCAGTCAGTAGGTTGTCTTTTAGTTTTGTTGATTGTTTCCTTTGCTGTGCAGAAACCTTTTTATTTTGATGTCATACTAATAGTTTATTTTGGCTTTTATTTCTCTTGCCTCAGGAGATATATCTAGAAAAATGTTGCTACAGCTGATGTCAGAGAAGATACTGTCTGTGCTCTCTTCTAGGCTTTTTATGGTTTCAGGTCTAACATTGAGGTCTTTAATCCATTTTGAGTTTATTTTTGTAAGAAGGTGGTCCAGTTTCATTCTTTTGCATGTAGCTGTCTAGTTTTCCTAACACCATTTGTTGAAGAGACTGTCTTTCTCCCATTGCATATTCTTGCCTCCTGTGTCAAAGATTAATTACCATATAATTGTGGATTTATTTCTGGACTGTCTATTCTGTTCTGTTGATCTATTGGTCTGTTTTTGTGCCAGCATCACACTGTTTTTATTACTACAGCTTTGTAGTATAACTTTTAATCTGGGATTTGATACCTCCAGTTTTGTTTTTCTTTTCAAGATTGCTTCAGCTATTTGGGGTCTTTTGTGGTTCCATACAAATTTTAGGATCATTTGTTCTAGTTTGGTGAAAAATGCCATTGTTATTTGTTGATAGGGATTGCACTTAAATCCGTAGATTGCTTTGGGTAATATGGACATTTAAAAATATTGGTTCTTCCAACCCATGAGCACGGAATATTTTTCCACTTGTTTGTGTCATCTTCAATTTCTTTCATCATTGTTTTATCAGTTTCTTTCATCAGTGTTTTATAGTTTTCAGAATACAGATCTTTCATCTCCTTGATCAAGTTTATTCCTAGGTATTTTATTATTTTTGGTGCAACTGTAAATCAAACTGTTTTCTTAATTTGTCTTTCTGATGTTTCATTATTAATATATAGAAATACAATTATTAGTGTCTAGTAATGCAATTAATATATAGAAATGCCGGGCTGGCTTAGTCAGTGAGCATGCGACTTTTGATGTCAGGGTTGTGAGTTCAAGGCATACATTGGTCATAGAGCTTATTTTAAAAAGTGTTAAAAAAACGAAAAAGAAATGAAACAGATTTCTGTATATTGATTTTGAATACTGCAACCTTACTGAATTCATTTATCAGTTGTAGTAGAATCGAGGGTTTTCTATATATAGTATCATGTCATCTGCAAATAGTGAAAATTTTAGTTCTTCCTTACCAATCTGGATTTCTTTTATTCCTTTTTCTTGTCTGATTGCTATGGCTAGGACTTCCAGTACTATGCTGAATAAAGGTGGTGAGAGTGGACATCTTTGTCCTATTCCTAACCTTAGTGGAAAAGCTTTCAATTTTACACCATTGAGTATGCTGTCTGCTGTGGGTTTTTCACAAAAGGCCTTTATTATGTTGAGGTTTATTCACTCTAAACCTACTTTGTTGAGAACTTTTATCAGGAATTAATGTTTATTTTGTAAAATGCTTTTCCTGCACCTATTGAAATGATAATATGGTTATTGTCATTTCTCTTGTTTATGTGATACATCACGTTGATTGATGTACAAATATTAAATCACCCTTGCAACCCAGGAATGAACCCCACTTGATCATGGTGAATTTTTTTAATGTATTGTTGGATTCAGCTTGTTAATATTTTGTTGAGGATTTTTGTATATGTGTTCATTGGAGATATTGGCCTGCAGTTTGTTTGTTAGTTTCTTTCTTTCTTTCATGTCTTTATCTGGTTTTGGTATCAGGTTAATGGTGGCCTCATAGAATGAATTTGGAAGTCTTCCTTCCTCTTCTGGTTTTTGGAATATTTTGAAAAGAATAGGTATTACCTCTTCTTTAAAATTTTCTTAGAATTCACTTGCAAAGCCATTTGGTCCTGGACTTTTGTTTGTTGGCATATTTTTTATTACTGATTCTATTTCATTGCTGGTAATCAGTCTGTCCAAATTTTCCATTTCTTCCTGATTCAATATTGGGAGGTTATATGTTTCCAGGAATTTATCCATTTCTTCTAAGTTGTCCAATGTTGGCATTTAATATTTTATAATATTCCTTTATAATCCTTTGTATTTCTGTGGTATTGGTTGTTAGTTCTTCTCTCTCGTTTCTGATTTTGTTAAAACTTTAATTTTTAAGTTTAAAATGTATAAGGAATTTGTGAGGATCCTGCATATTTTTTGTTACATATCTTCAGTCATATTAGTATCCAGGAAATCCCTTTGACGGTAAAAAGCTAAAATAAAATAAAGCAAAACAAAACATTAAGGCAGTAACTCCTTTTCTATCCATCACAACATGGTTATTTTCAAAATAACTCAGGATCCGGTTTCCAAAAATGGGTCCCTTGCTAGATTTCCTCTAATCAACCTTATCTTTGCCATTTTGGTTTTATGCCACGAGGGGGCAAGCAAACAAAAGCAGCTTATGTACAAAAGTTTCTACTGAGATTTATTTCTTCACAGTAAACTGAATTTGTTCCAGAGGATGTTTAGCTGTCAAACTTTACAGGATTTTGGCATCTAAGAAGTCTACATATATATAGGTTGAGAATTTTTTTCTGGTAAAACTCATGCAAGCACAGAAAATATTCTTGAATTAATGCTTCCTTCTAAATTAATGTAACGTGTTAGGGTGCTTGGCTGGCTCAGTCAGTACAACATGCCACTCTTGATCTTGGGGTCATGATTTCAAACTCTATGTTGGGCATTAATAATAATAATAATTAACATAGCATGTTAAACCCAGCCTGAAGTTCTAGTGTAATTATCCAAGACTGCAATATGCAGCCAAGGGTAAGAACTACTGATGTAGATGAAACGGAAGGAATTTGCTCCTGAACTGTATTAAACTAAATCCTACACGTGCCCAATTGGTTATATTAAGAAATAACCCCTCCATGCTAACAATACATCTATGCCTGAGTGTCCAATCTGGTTTGGAAGAGAGATTTTTCTGGACTTTGGTTGTGACAAATGGGGGCCCTTCTGGTGAGGAGTACAATTCCAAGAGTAGTGGAGCAGTGGGGAGGGCAAGAATGGGTCTCTGGCTGTCAACCCTCCTCTGGGCCTCACTGGGTTAACTTCTGCTCTTTTGTAACTCCATTCCACTGTTCAGTTTGCCTTTGGTAATTGCTTTAAGCTGACTTGCCCATCCCTCCCCTTAGGGTCAGGGAGGAGAGGAGATGCTGTACTGCTGGATTTGCCCCAAGAGTTTCCCTGAACCCTGAACCACTCAAGGCCTTCTCTGCCCCCAGGTACAATGCAGATATGTTCTCTTTTTTCTCCAGTATGCACCAGGACACAACAGGGTATGTCTGCCTCCTCATTCAGCCAGCCAAGAAATCCGACGCTGGATGGTACACGTTGTCAGCCAAGAATGAAGCTGGCATTGTGTCGTGCACTGCGAGGCTGGATATATATGGTAGGTGTAATGTCCTCAGTTAAACATCTGTGTGTGATAGACAGCTTAAAGCAATTTTTTTAAGGATAGGTATGGTATTTTTCCATAACTGAACTCATTAGACTATATTTTAGTGCTTAAGCAATGGATTTTTAAAATCATTTCATCCTAGTCACCTCAGGGCTTTTGTACACTTTTGCAGTTTACTTTGAGCTTAAGCTTCTTCCAAAAAATGTCCTATAATGTTAGGAATTACAATTATTTCAGAGTTTAACTGTGTTTATGCTTTTGATCATCCAACATCTCCTGTTGTCTCCTTAATACCGTAGGCCACCCACTGGAACTCCATCCCCACTGCCTGTCACTCCTCCCAAGCATACCTCCACCCAGCAGAATTTTCCTGTCCCCATTCATCTGTTAATTCATTCCACAAATACTTATGGTGCCAATCCCACAACCAGACTAATAATAGAGAGCTGTCCCAATAATATCAAATGATGTTTGTATAATGACTTGTAATTTACAAAATGGTATCCTTAGACCCTCCCAATTATTGCAACTGTTGTCACCCTCCTCTAAATGCTGAAGAAACTGAGACTCAGGGAGGTTATGTGTCTATAGCCAGGAGACAAATGCCGGCTTTTGTATCATTCCTTTGAGCTATGTTTCTAATTTTCAAAAGAATTTAACAAGCTAATCTTTATTAATGTAATGTAATGTACTCTGCTTTTCTTCTCTATACTTTTGACATTAACTGGTATTTTTTTGGAGGCACACTCCTTAATCCAAAAGGGTGATTCTTTTTCTTCCTCTCCTTTAAAAAATTTTTTAAAGTAATTTAATAATTAATAAATTTCTTAATCATTACTGGTTCAACATGAGCAACCAGAATAACAAGTAAGTCACTGTGTCTAGAACCTGAGGTCCCAACTATTCATAGGTACATACTAGGAATTCCCTTTTCTTAGTACCATACAGGAAAAGCCTTGGCCTGCTATTTTTTCCCTAGGTCTAATATTTGGTGGCAATATATAGTCCTTCGATTATTTTCCCTTATCTTTGGACTTGAAAAGAAATTCAACTGTGAGGGACGCTGACTCTAACGTACTTTCCCCTGGTGAGGGGGTGGGGAGAGAGAGGCCATCGATATATTTAACCTAGGCTAAGTCCCCTATCCATTTCATCCACTTCCCCATTTCAGAGGGAGATAGCTCTCCAACTAAGAAACTCAGTACCAATAAGTCCTGAAACTGATAAATCTTGTCCCAATCCTGCTCTCCACCTCCCAGTTCAGTTTTCCAGACTCACCTCTCCCAGGCTCCTGTCTTGATTGAGCAGCACCAACAACAGGGGGTGCTGTTTCCTTGATTAGGACTTGGGAATGGAGGAGGGGATAGAGGACTTGGGCTGAAATCAATCCCCTACCCTTTCACCACCACCATCACCACCATTTCCTGCCTGTCTAAGGAATGGGAACAGCAGGTAGGCTCCCCTCTCTCACCCAAAGTAGAGCTTCTGATAGAAGCAACTGTAATAGTCTGGTTAAAAGGTTTGGAGCAGAGACTTGACTATTCACCGTGGCCTCATTGAGGGCCTGCTCTTCAGTGGAATCACTGTAAGTTTTGTCCTCACTTCGGTTGCTTTCAAAACTTGAATTTATCCACCCATTCAGAGGTATTTCTAAAAAACTGATAATCTGAGTATTATCTAAAAACTGATTATTATCTAAAAAACTGATTCAAAATAATGAAATCAACAAAGGTCCAGTTTGTAAAAGAATGCTCAATAGGTCCATAGCTTTCTAGGATCCAGAGTACCCAGTTTCCCCAGCTGGTGCTCCCCCTTCTCCACACCAAGGTCCCTGGAAACCTAATGAGAAGACTGCTTCGAAATTTCTGGATCAGACACAACAGGAGGGACAAAGCAATTTGGATGGATATTTCATTCAGGCATGTTCAAGCCTAAGGATCATCTCCTTTAGACAATGTTTGCTGAACACGGAAATTCTAATACATTCTCTTTTGTCCCTGAATCATGGTTGATTGCACATAAGTTACTTTTCAGTCTTCTTGCTATAAACTCATTAGAACCTGAATAAGGGGGTGGATGGGTAGTGGCTGATTAGTGATTAGGGTGTGGGACAGGTACTTTTGGAGGTCTGGACCTGTCTTTTGGCTTCCATTACCTCAGGTTTCTTGTCTCTGCCTTCTAAGGTACCTGCCCTTGAGAGCCTACAGCTCTTTCTACACTGCCCCTGGGAGACTCCATGCTAGATCAGTGAGAGGGGACGTAAGAGGAGATATTTTGATAAATCACCCTATACATCTACTCTTTTTATTTTTTAAGATTACTTATTTATTTATTTGAGAGAAAGAGTGAGGCAGAGAGAGAACACAGGCAGGGGGAGCAGCAGAGGGAGAAGCAGGTTCCCCACTGAGCTGGAAGCCTGATACGGGGCTCAATCCTAGGACCCTGAGATCATGACCTGAGCCAAAGACAGATGTTTAACTGACTGAGCCATCCACGTGCCCCTCTTTTTTTTTTTAAGATTTTATTTATTTATTTGTCAGAGAGAGAGAGAAAGGGCACAAGCAGGGGGAGGGGCAGGCAGAGGAAGAAGCAGGCTTCCTGCTGAGCAGGGAGCCTGACACGGGAGTTGATCCCAGGACCAGATCCCAGGACCCTGGCATCATGACCCAAGCTGAAGGCAGATGTTTAACCAACTGAGCCACCCAGGCGTTCCCCGTACAGCTACTCTTATAGTCCCAGATTGTGGGTTTTGGAATTAGGAGCATAAGAGGTTCACCAGCCCAGTTTGCCTATTCCTGGCAGAGAAGGAGAGATTTTTGTTGTTGTTGTTCTTTGCAAATGACGCATTTCAGACCCAGATATATTTCACAGAAAGTGTTTGAATGAGAACAGAATACACCCCTGGCCTGTACCCACTCGACTGCATTCCCTTGATTGTAACATGTTATTCGGTCCATTTTCCAGCTCAGTGGCACCAGCAGATCCCACCGCCCATGTCGGTCCGGCCCACTGGCAGTCGCTACGGATCTCTCACCAGCAAAGGACTTGACATTTTCTCTGCCTTCTCCTCCACGGAAAGCACAATGGTGTATTCATGTTCTTCTCGGAGTGTAGTGGAGAGTGACGAACTTTAGGAATGTCTGGGTGCCGGCTGTGTAAGGGGGCAGACTGTGGAGGGGGAAGGAGGACAAGCCAGACACAGCGGTTTCCAAGCAACTGGATTTGAGTGAGTTCCCATGCTGCTGGACCCGTGGCAAGAAGTGCTTCAAATAAGTCAGCTGGGGACTCTTGCTGTCTCAGCTAGGGGAAAGATGTAGGGCTGTGCCTTTTAAAGATTCCAACAAAAATGTGAGAAGACGATAACAGATGAACCAAAGATGTCATGAAGTCATCCACTGCTTTGGGAGAAAGCTAGCATGCTCCCCTGTCCCCTGCTATGTTAGGGATATTTAGGCCCTATTAGGAGTAATGAGGGGCCATATGTTTGGGCTGAAAGGAGTTAGACAGTAGTGACCTTAGGAATCACTAACTCACCAAACAATGTAAAGGAAAAAGGTGGGGAGGTCTCCATTACCTTTCATCAGTTAAATCCATAGCAGTAGTTTTGATGGATTCATTTAATCAGCTTCTACTTAGCCTTAAGAGATTGTGCCATACAACTCACAGATGTGGAGAAGCACTTTTGATTTACTTATCCTGAGTGTACTGAGCCACGTATTAAGGTGCCAAAATGTGCTTGAGATACCAAAAAATTCACTGAAACCCTCAATATTGCACAACGCACTTGTTCGATAGCCAAAACAAGGCCCCATTAGCCTGTCTGCATCATTTTCTTTTGGATATAATGGCAAGTGGTTTTGCTTTCTGACTTTATACATCCCCAAATTCTAGAACTAAAAGGTTGCTAAAGCTTCTATGGGGTCACTTTTAAAGCTACTAGCTTCAATTGCCGCTTGCAAAATATGCGAAAGTCATCATCATCTGCCCCTCTTGTCTCCCCAAAAGGCTGGAAGTGTATGAGGCAGTGAGGGAGGAAGGGATGCCAACAAGGAAAGGAAGTGATGGGAGAGTGTTGTTTTTCACTTGCCCTAGAAGAGCAGTGGGTGTGGAAGGAGACATCTTTAATAGGTATGAACTGTGTTTCAGATAATTTGCATTTTCTATATGGAAAACATCATGCTAAAAAAAAATCATGCTAACCAGGAAAGTGGGAGGAAAGGGGAATATGCATCTTTGTTCTAACCCACCTATTCAAAACCTGCTTCTTAAGCAATTTTTAGAAATAAATTCACTACGATTATCCCCAGTGCCTAGAAGAGTGCTTAGCACCGCGTAGACATTCAATAGATATTTGTTGGATAAATGAATCTTATATTAGATAGAGAAATCTGCAATTCACACAGCAATCCAAAAACTGCCCTGGGAATGGTCATCACAGCACAGCTTGCTCCAGACTCCCCTGTGAAATGAATTGGAGGTGTCTGTTACCAATTCCTGGTGCGCAGGGTGTCTGGTGTTCTCTGAGCCAGGCACCCTCAGCTAGTATCTAACTCCAATGAACAAATAGTAGTTGTTTAGAAAGGTTTGAAATTTTCTCCACTTCAAGGCAAGGACTACCAGTATAAAAATAAATTCATTCACTCAAAAAAAGCATTTGTGTGTCTACTCTGTATAAGATGCTATGCTAGAGACTTTTATGAATAAGACACAGTCCCTGACCTCAGGGAGCTTACAATCTAGTAGGGGAGGTAAGATGTAAGGCATAAAGAGTGCTGCTTTGGGGGGGAAAAAAATCTATTCTTTATCAAATAGAAGTTTCTAGTTCTCTTCACCCTATATTTTTTATGACTCTAAAATCATCTTAATATTTTCAATCTTTATTTCTTAATGAAACAAATGCCACAGGTTACATCATTAAGAAATAAAGGTTTCAGTCAATTATTCAGTGAAATTATTAGATTTTTGTTTTCTTTTTTCATGTATTCAGGAGCAATACTAAAAATACAGGCAACTGTAATGACAGCATACGTTTCATGCAGAATGCATCCTATAAAATATTGTTTCCGGGTTGGCTTCTATTATGAAATCTTTTCTACCCAAAGAGGACTTTCTAACTCCAGGATTGTTCCTTCTCGGTCATTCACCTGACCTTCCTATCACATCTACTTCTGTAAACCCTAAGGAGTTCTCCTATGAAAGGATATTTTTCACCTCTCTATGTCTTAGCTTTCTAAATACTTTTTATCTGTTGCCTTTTAGTGTTCACCAGAGAATTAGGATGAGTATTATACTTGACCACTGGATGGCGCTGTCTTACCTAAAATATAAGAAACCTAAAAATTCCTGAAATTGGAGACACTGGATTATGTCAATGCAGGGTTTCTGAACCTCGGAATTATTGACCTTGTGGGGTGGATTGTTCTTCATTGCAGGGGCTGTCCTGCAAAGTGCAGGATGTTTGGTAACATCACTGGCCTCTAACTGGATGTCAGTAGAATTAGCAGCTGATCCCCACGTGTGGCTATCCAAAATGTCTCCAGACAATGCCATATGCTTCCTACGAGGCAGAGTCCTTCACTGTGTTGAACAAATCAGTTCCCTGCTTTGAGAATTCCATTAGAAGTCAATTATAATGAGGGATATGTATATAAGAAATTTTGGTTCGGCTGGATATGTTTGGACTCAAATGTCCCAAATCAGATTCATCATCTTCCCTTTCATAAATCATTCTTCAGCCTCGCTTAATGATTTCTACTAATGGCACCATCACATTCCTAGCAATCCAGATAAAAAGCATCCAAGTCATTTTTTGCTTCCTCTCACCAATCGATCAACAGCTCCCATTAATTCTATTATTTCTTCTACATTCAGCCCTTCCTTTCCATCCCCCTGCAGTTCTCCAGTTCAGACTTGCATTACTTTATTAATTTCCCTCAATATTTCTGATTTCAACCATAACAAAGGACTTCTAAGTGGCCTTTCTGCCTCTGTTCCTGACATTTCTCCCATTCAAATCCAGCCCAGATCTCAGTGTCAGCTCTTTCTTCCTGAAGTACTGCTCTACTCATACTCTTCCCCAATTTCAAACCCCCAGTGGCTCCCTGGAGCCAATCAGGTACCCCCTCTTCTGCCCTGTTGTATTCAAGGCTTGTTCCAATATGATGCCAAAACTTTTCAACCCGTTCCTCAGAAAACACACCCAATATGGCAGCAAACCTAACATAGGCCCCTGCTTTCCTGCACAATGCCTCTCTGTCACTTCTGCCTTGGAAGACTCTCTCTCCCCAGCCTCTACCCATGGCAATCTTATCTGTTCCTTAAAGCCCATCTAAAAATGCCACTGCCTCTGGGAACTATTTTCTGATCCCCCAGGCCCCACCCAAATACATTGTACTTTCTTTGAAAACTTATAGCAAGTTTCTTGAATCTGGAAGAAGAAAAGATGGCCTTGTGTCGTATTTTATATAAAATATAGCCTCTCTATACCTGCCTGTCCCCTCTGCTTGCACTAGCCAGTCTTGCCCACACTAGGTTTTAGCTACTGTTGGTATGGACTGTGTCAAAGTTTGTCATGTACCTTATACAGAGTAGGCACTCGATAAATATTCATTGACCTAAACTGAACTTCAAATTTCTAGGTATGTCAGTATGTTCCCATATAAAGCGAACTGAGACTAGAGCAGTGGTTCTTAACCTGGGCTGCATATTGGAATCTCCTGAAGAGCTTTTAAAAATCTTGATACCCAGGCCACAACCCCAAATCAGTTAAGTCATAAGCTCCGGAATTGTGGCATAAGCATCAGGATTTATGAAAGCTTCCCAGGTGATTCCAAAGAGCAGCCGCATCTACGGAGAGTAATTTCAGAACTTACCCAGAAAGGTCCAAGGGGATGCAGAGAGCAGAAAGCTGTAGTTTGGGCACCTGGTGAAGAATATACTCCCCTTTGTGGTACATGCAATGCATGCCTAGAAAGTAGAAATAAACACACACTTTGGCCTTATTGGACCCTCCTATTTTGTGCAACACTCATTAGACATGTAGCATTCATAAAGCCCCCAGAGGAAGCTCAAAACCTGCAAAAACGGACCAGGGAAGGAGAGAAAGTTGATGCAATTTGTCTGGTCCTTTGTTTCTAAAAGTCACACAGGTCCCATAAGCACTCTCCTCTCCAAATAATTTGAAGGGCTTTTAGCAATTTGATTAGTTGTGGAAATGGGGATCAATGCACCCTTCTCTTTTTATTCCTCACTTAATTTTTGTAAGCATTCAATGAGAAATTGAATAGTTGAGAGACCAGCAGTAGATAGAGCTAGAGCTCTGGATGAAACGAACCACGGAGAAGAATGCCTATAGGAGTCAAAAGCTGACTTTTATAGGGACAGGTTAGTTTGAATAATCCTCAAATGACAAATGGGTTGCTTTCCAGATGTTCACTTGTAAACTGGTTGTTTAAAACTCAGAATATATTTCCTTACACCCAAAACACAATGCTAGATTCCCAAGTGAACTCAGTAAACCCAATTTAATTCATTACTGAGTTACAATATCTATTACACCTGATTGGGTGATGGTCCCAAGAACAGGATCCAGGCAAAGCAGCTCATAACATAAGAGGAGAAGAGAGACTACTTCCTCCTTTTTTGTGTCTATCATGTGGTCTAAGGTTCTTTGCATCTATCCCCCATTCTGTGTTTTTCTCCCCAGATGCCCTGTGCTCCATGTCCTATAACCCCCCTCTGTGGTAACCCATCCCATCTCAGCCTGTCGGCATGCTGCATGCTCCAAAATGACCTAACTCCAGTTCCAGGCATCTCAGGCCGATGGTCAGAAGAAAGCAGTCCAACTGAACGAATTCTGATTACCTGAGGGTCTTTTAACTTCATAGAGGGGCTGCATTCTTTTTAAGCAGTTGCCTTCTTACTCCCATCAACTTCTAATTGACAGAATTGCTGACAAAGTAAAAAAAAAACAAAAAACAAACAAACAAAAAAAACTCAGGTTGGGAGGGGAGGTCTAGAATACTAACTGGGTCAGACATCCAAATTCTTGTTGATCAAAACCTCCTCCTGTCTTCTTCCTCCCCACACACTCCCAAAGTACCTTCCAAGCTGAGATCCTGGCCTGAGTCTGTATTTAGGCTATTTATGAATTGGTTGTAAACTCAAAGGCAAAGTTCCTAATAATGACCTTTATTCAAGGTCCCTTCCAGGGTCCTTGGGTAACCTGGCCTCAAAGTATTTCTGCTGATGGTTGAGTAGAAAATCAATGTGCCTTACCAGTAAGACTAAGAGTTACTTCAATTACAAGAAGCTTTTTGAAGTCCTTTTCACCACTAATCGCCTTTTCTTGTTTTACGTGGATCAAGATTTTAGAAAGTTAATTACTGAAACACTGCTTGAAGAATGCCAAACATCTTCTAAACTTTGACAATGCAGTGGTCATCACTATGCTAAAAAAAAGTTGCTAATACCATGTTTTTAAAAATCTGTACAGTGCAAAAAAAATGCATATTTGTTGAAATTATGTTTGCCTCCTATTTCTAATTATATTAGCTAGCACACTTGGTATTATAGAATGATAAACAGGCTGCTTTTTGTTAATATGTAAACAATGGCCACCTCAAACTCCAAAAAGCAGTAGCCTTGAAATTGCAAGAAATAGAGAAAGAACACACTTTCAGTCCTCTGAGAATTGGGCCAAAAATGCTGAGAGTAAGCATAAAGAGAATGGCTGTAGTGTAGAGGC